AGAATAAGACATCAAAAAAACATTTTTAAGGAAAGATAACAATAAAAGAACAGGAATTAAGACAGACAGAAGATAACAGACACTGCATCTAAATTTTTGAAGATCAAATTTGACCGGAAAGCAAGAAGTTGGAAGAGAGTTCAACAAGTGAGAAAGGTGTGAGAAAAAAAACAAAACTGTTAGCATAGAACTTATGGTTACATCGAGCTCCATTTCAATTGTAAAATGATGAGATTTAGTTGCTAATCTAATACTTCACCTAAATTTGTAAAGTTGATGTACCAAAGAGAAAAGCTTGTAAGAACAATTACCATGAAAATATTTATAGAAAAGGCAACGGGAAGTTACATTACAGCAGTGGGAAAGTGAGTGAAGCCGAGATGCCAGATAAGGACTGATAATATTGTAGATACCTCTTTGGATTTTATCAAGTATCTCTAAATACATATCAAAAGCACCAGTTTCAGATATGGTAGCAATATTTAATGCATGGATGAATGGTAGACTTATAAATGTGTAAGACAGATTCTAGCAAGAAAAGTTTTCTACCATGACACAATGAAGCAACTTTTCCAGCAGCACACCCAGCAAGTGATTCAATATAATCATTCCACTTCAGAGATACACAATATTTAAAATGTTCCAAAAATGTTCTTGAAAGTAAGGGTAAAATTTTGGGGGGAAACAAATAAAAAACATTGTATATTTTTGAGGGGGTCAATTAAAAGAGACTGGCAAGAACAGAGATCAAGTGACAACAAGGCACACCATAAAAAATTACAAGATTTAAAAACAAAACCATTTTATGAAAATAATAGAAATGAAAATTTTACTAAATATTAGGTATGGCAGTTTGTTCTGCTTGGACAAGGGCTTAATAAATTTCTAGACAAGATACTTGTTTTTTTTAAAAATAAAGTTCAATGGTAATTGTGGAAAAAATATCAAGTTTACAATCAATATTAATCAAATAACATGAGATATTGCAAGAAAAATGTCAGCATATGGAAAAAAATATACATATTACAAAGAAGAATGTACAACAAAAGGGTTTCAGTGAAATCAAACCCAGTTAAAAGGGATTTATTGTAGTAGAAAAAACACGTTTTTCTTTCCCCTTCCTTTACCTTCAATTGATTCTAACTCCACTCCTTGGTCAAGGATCTTTGCAAGGAGGCTGGTAAAGTTCAGATTACAGTAAATTATTTTATTACCTTCATCCCTTCCCCCAAACTACTGAGAACCAGAAAAAAGAAAAAAAAAAAAGAAAAAAAAAAAAAAAAAAAAAAAAAAAAGAAAAGTAAAACAGCAAGAACACACAAACACACAAATTTCTACCTTTTTTTTTCTCAGTACTGACAACTGCAACAGTTTCTAACCACAGACAAAACAGGAAATTATTTACAGTATTTACAATCAGTGAGATATAAAACCAAAACAATTTTATTAAAATAAAATGTTATTAATATTATGGATGCACAAACTTGGTGGTTTGTATAACTGGGAAAGGGATAATACCTTTCTGGACAAGTAAACATGAGATATAACAAGAAAAATGCCAGCATATACAAAACAATGCAAATTACAAGGAAGAAGGTACAATAAAAGGGTTTCAGTGAGGTCGAAGCCAGTTAAAAACAGATTTACCTTGAAGGTATAAAATGTAAATGCTCTTAATAGTTCTTGTGATTTGATGGGAGGGGTTGGAGTTTGTGACTGAATCTGTTTGTGCCTTCAGAGTTTAGTGAAGAGCAGACATGTTAAACATGTGGCCCTTTACAAACAAACCTGCAGCCTGTACAAATTTGGTTATTTAATGGGAAAAATTGCAGTTATTTAGAAATTACAATATTTAAGAAAATAAATAATGTTTTTTAAATTTTGATTTATTTTAATAGAATGCCAGATAAGAATACCATTTACTGTATAAAGTTAAAATAATTTTGATACTATCGACAAATTTTAAGTTAGTACATTACTAAGTTATAATTCTAAAACTTGTAGCAAATATTTGTTTTTGGTGGCAGTGAAAATAGTGAAGAAAGAAATTCTCTCTAGTTGCCATGTCATGAAAACAATATGCCAGCTCATGAACAGTTGTAAGCAAAAAAAATTGCAAAATTTCAAGTTTTTGCTTTTAAAGGTGGAATATAAGCCAAAAATGTTTTAGAGGCATTATCAAAATTACTTTATCTCTTTTTACTGTTATCTGTAGTTTAAATGTACCAGTAATTTCTCAGATTCCGCATCATCAAATTTAAAAATTAATTTTTTTCCCTACTACTTCAACCCAGAAAATGACTCGTGCTCCTCCTGCTAAGGAGAAAATTGAATGAAGAAGAGCAAATGTTTAAAAAAAAAAAAAAAAAAAAAAAAAAAAGTGGGAATTATGGTATTTTTGCACAACAGTGAATGAAAAGACACATTGTTTAATTTGCGACAACTCCATCGCCATGCCAGAAAAGTACAACCTGAAAAGACATTATGAAACAAACGATCTCTCTTACGATAAATATGAAGGTCCAAAGCATGTCTCAAAACTCAAGGAATTGAAGGCTAACGTGACACAGCAACAGACCTTTTTATATGAAAATTTAGAAACAGAATATTGTTTCCATTACTGCACGCTATAAACTCAGCCAAATGATGGCCATGTGTGGGGAATCTTACAGTGAAGGAAATTTCATGAAGTAGAGCCTTGTAAAAACAGCTGAAATTGTATGTCAGAAGAATGGACACATATTCAAAGACATTTCATTAACCAGGAACATTGTTATTGAATGGATTGATGAAATGTCAGATTTGAAACAATAGTTGAAGAATGTATCATCAAGGTTTGAACATTATTCTATGGCTATTGATGAGACCATTGACATCAGCAGAATAGCACAGCTTGCAATCTTCATCAGGGCCTGTGACAGAGAATTTAATATTTATGAAAAACTGACTGAACTAGTCCCCATGTATGATGCTACAACAAGCCAGGACATCTTTGACAGAGTTGAGCAGGTTCTGCATGAGTATAGTTTTGATTTGAGTAAACTTGCATGCTCATCTACTGACCATACTCCAAATATGGTTGGCAAAGAACGAATGGTGTTCATGCCAAGTTACAAAGAAAACTAGAAAACTCACATCCAGAGACATCATTTACACAGTTTCACTATTATTCATCAGCAAAATTTGTGTTCAAAAGATTTTAAAATTGGATCATATGCTTAGCTTCATCACAAAGACAGTGAATTATATCGAAGGCTGTGCTCTCAACCACCATCAGTTCAGTCAGCTGGTGGAAGATATAGATAATCAGTCCCCTGGTGTTTCATTCTACAGAAAATCTGGTGTTTGTCACACCACAAAGTGCTGAAAAGATTATACTGTTGAAACAAATTGTTTTTGGAGATGAAAGATCCAAACACAGATGAAATAAAAGATGAAAGTTGGCTCCAAGATCTGGCTTTTACTGTGGATATTACTGCACAATTAACTAATCTTAATTTGAAAGTACAAGGTAAAAAATAAACTTATCATTCAGTTGTATGATGACATTAAGTGCTTCATTACAAAACTAAGCTTATGGAAATCACAGTTATCAAATGAAAATTTAGATCATTATCCTAGATGGAAAGAGCTGCCAATACTGAGACTGTATTTAGATTTGCTAAGTACAACAGTCACCTGGAATTGTTGTCAAAGGAATTTCAGAAAAGATTTAGTGATTTCTCATTTTTTGAACATCAGTTTGCATTTTTCTCAGCACCATTTACTTTTGATGTTGTCAAGAAAGAAGAAAGCCTGCAGATGGAACTATTAGAAATACATGCGGATTCTACACTCAGAGCAAAGTATCTTGAAGTAGGAATATCTGGGTTTTTTTTTTTCATACCTTCCTGAGAAGTTTAAAAACTTCAGAAAGTTTGCTACAAAGATTGTGGCAATGTTCGGTTCTACCTATAGTGTGTGCGTGAACAGTTATTTTCCTTCATGAAATCATCAAAAACCTTCTCAGAGAACAAAGCTAACTAATCAATATTTATCATCACTGATCAAAGTCGGAACTGCACATACAATTCAGCCATACAAAAAGAGGTATCAACTCTCAGGACATTAAAACTAAAACTGACCGAGTAGTGGAAAATAAATGTCCAGTTTTCAACTGTTGTCATTTTTGTGCAAAGTATTTGTTGCTGTTGCAAACTCAAAGTATTTAAAACAAAAACAAATAAAAACAAATCAAACTACTTCATTACTTTCTATACATGAATCCTGCTAAAACATTTGCATGGCACATCGTATGTTTCTGAATTTCAGTAAACAAAAAAAATTTTGCAATAAATTTTATTAAATGACTCCAATTAGTTGTCATGTGTGGCCCTCATGACAGCATATATGTGGCCCTCAGTTTGTCATGTCTGGTGTAGAGTTGTTTTTTTTTTTGAACAGTGCTTGTTCTGTCATGGAAACAATTATTTTGTTACAATTGTCAGGGTGAAAATGAGAATGTTGTGAAAACAATTTGGTTGTCAAAACTTCATTAAGGAGACAGATTTTTCGATATTTTTAAAAGTCATCACCTCTTACTACTCCTCTGACCATTGCGTCTCCTATCGCTCAGCATCCCCACTCCTCTATCGATGGTTGCATTGCAGGGATTTTTATAACCAAAGGGTGGCTCTCATTTGCCTGAAAAATGTTGGCAGTCAACAAGCATTTCAGATTTCAACCAGCTTGAGTAGTCATTAGTTAAAAAAAAACAATTTATTCAAATAGAAAAACCCATGTGTTTTTCTCTTCCTTTCTTTTACCTTCAATTGACTTCACTTCCACTGACCAATTGACCCCACTTCCACTCCTTGATGAAGGAGCTTTGTACACAGACTAGCAAGATTCAGGTTTCAGTAAATTCTTTTATCACCTTCATCCCTTCCACCAAACTACTGAGAACTGAAATTTACTCAGTGAGAAAAAAAATATTTTTAGTAAAAGAGAAGAAAGTTTACCTTTAGCCTTTCTGATAAAAGGTAGAAATGATTTGGTCATGCGGACAGTGCCAAAATAATTCACATCCATCACTTTTTCATACATATCCATTGTAGTGAATTCAACATTTCCAAATCTGTCAATGCCAGCATTATTAACTAATGCCCAGAGACCTAAAAAAAAAAATAATAAAAAAAATCATCATATTATATCTTTGAATTATTAAGTATACAAGGCACATCCCATCCCAGTCAAATGTATGTAATATCATTCTTCTTCTATGTGCCATGTCCTTTCAGGATGTTGGTGGTCATAGCTCTTGATAATTGCCTCTCCTTTGTAGCTCTCAATAACTTTTGTCTTTTTTGCCATATCTCCCAAACCCCACTCTGCCAGGTAGGTTGTGCATTGCTTTCCTCTAGCCCTCTTTCCATCAAATTTCCCAAGCCCTCATTTCTTATGTGCTCCAGAAATTTCAACTGCCTCTTCCTGACGTCAAGTACAAGTCCTTTTTGTTGCCATTGTCTCTAGAACTTTGTCATTGCTCACATGTTTGATCCATGGCATTCTCAGCATTCTTTTCTAGAACCAAATTTCTATTGTCATAAGTTGTTTCTTCATCTGTGAGGATATTGTCCAGCATTCACTGCCATAACAGTTCCATACTCTTTTCTTTGATTTATCTTTTATTCTCGATTCATCAAGGGCCTAACATGTCAAACAGAGCTGTTGGGTTTGGTTAGTCTTGTACCAGTAAGCCAACTATTCGAGTATAAAGATGAAAAGTGATTTTTTAAGCTTTTTTTTTTTAAAAATACAGTAGTCTATAATTTCTTACATTTTGCAAAAGCGACTATCATTTATTAAGAGTATTATTATTTGCACCTGTAACAAAGAACATTAGAAGGCCGAATACACAAAATTATTAATTTGTAAATATGCAAATATAAAAGGAAAAGAAATAAGTTGTGTAATAATAAATATTTACGTTATTTTACAACAGAAAATCTTAAATGTTCTGACAAAATGTAGTAAGGGAAACAACTCCATACTTTATTCCAATTACCTCCCTTTAAAGATTTTGTTATCAAATTTTTAAAAAAATTATTTCATTCTAACGAAGGCGATAATGTCACAAGGACGCGGGGGTGGTTACAGGGAATGAAAGAGAACGAGAAGACTTTAGTGAGGAGAGGTGTGGAAAGGATAATAAAAGGAACAGATGTTTTAAGATTTTCCTAATTTTTTATTTTAAATGTCACATCTCTTGATGATGTAGCCAATCACAGCTCACCAAAGATTACATTTTTCTATTATCCATGAATTGCCATGACTTTTGGGGAAATATAGCTGAGTGGTTCCTCGTGGCCTCCCTCATGGTTTAGAATTTATAGTAGTCCTTCACTAGTTGTCAGTGAAAGCTAGAGAGCCCAGTCTACCCTGCTATTTAACCCATAGCAGGGAGGTGGGTAGGAGAGATGCCTTTGCCAAGGGTATTTGTGAATGCAACATGCTAGGCCAGAATTTAAACTTGGCTTGCCAATTTGACTTTCTTTGCCAGTAACCATGAAGCTATCTACACAATACTAATTTTAGCCTGCTTTTATTTTGAAGTTGCTAGATTTGTCATTTTATTCAGGATGATAAAAAACAAGGGACATAAATACACTTTCTTGATTTTACTCCAAAATGCAACAGCATCAACATAGACCTTGTCCCCACTGCAGAAGAATTTATTTTGGCTGGACAGCCTGACAGCTAAACCTTAACTCTCACAGACACACAAACTCTTAATAGCAAAGTGTAGAATGTTGTTGTTCTTCCTTTTCAGCTCTGGACACACAAGTACATTTTTTCTCTCTTTGTATTGTGATACTATGGACATCCACACAGAAAGGTGAGAGGTAGTCTTATCTCAATCACAAGTGTTTCTGTTTGATGAACCAGTAGATGGATCCTTTTGAAGTTCAGTCTTTTAAGCGACATCTACTTTAAACAAAGAGTGGATGAGGGGTTTTGGGGATCAAGTGGCAACAAAACCGGAAATAGGGTAGATCTGGTTGCCATTCTGTATTAACTTTCATGCTTGAGATTCAGAAGAGTTCTGGTCCACCAGTAGTGAGAGACGGATGTGTCCATTGCGTGGTTCCGAAGCCTTCACTTATTGTTAGCCACCATATCAGGATGAGTAGATGGGCAAGAGCTGACATAGTAGACAGTGTCCTAAGCATCACCTACCTACCCACCTGGATGAGCAGGCAAAGCCCTAAATGAATCATCTAAATATGGCAAACAGAATTTGCTTTCTTATTTTTCAACATGGCGTTACATTTGTGAGCTTGCCCTTCCCCAGCTTTCAGTGCATACTGACAAGATCAAGAATCAGGATGCAAGGTAGGGGTAATTATTAGCAAGTCACTCTAAAGCTTGGGTGAAAACCATGTTGTAAGTTACTATATATATATAAAATCTGAAGTCACCTCATATGGGGAATAGCCTATTTTGGCAGATGAATATATCAGCCATCTGTCATATCAATCCCTGTATGGACTTGGTCTGTGTCAGAAATAGAAATTTATTTGTGAAAACATTAAAAAAAGAAATAAATGAAATAAAATAAAAACAGTCGAAAGACCAATACAGAATTTATCCATTTCAATGTTTCAGTCAGACGAACAGCACAAGTTACATGCCTTTAGCCTGACTGAAAGATTGAAATGGATAAATTCTGTATTAGTTTTTTGACTGGTATTTTTTTTTAGCTTTCACAGTTAAATTTCTATTTCTCACACAAACTCAGTCCACACCTGGGGTTGATAAGACAGACGACTGACAAAATAGGCTATTCCCCATATAAGTTGATTTTGTATTTTATTGTTTATTACTTGCTCTGTAATAAAAAATACATTGAGCTCTTTATGTGGATCAGTTTTAAATTTTTATATTACTAGGATCCACTTGGATTATATACCAACAGATCTGTTACCTTTACTACATGTGTATATATATATAAGTATATAATTGGTATATATGGAATGAATTCCAATAACCCACAATTACTATTCTTAAAAGAGTGCTCAATACAAAGTAGAGCAGATATAATTATTATTATTATTATTTATAAAAAAATTATAACATAAGTATGTTATAAAATCACTACATAAATAGCCATTTTGTTTCAACACACTCGGTGTCTTATCAAGTGATGATGTTGAAGATAAAATAAATGGTTTTAAAAGTTTCAGATTAATAAACGATCCTACACTAGGGGGAAACATTGTTACAAAAGCTAGAATAACCAATCAAAAACCAAGTATAGAAAGATTCAAAAGCTTGACAACGAAATCATGTTATAATATCTATTCAGATCTTTAAAATATGTGTAATATTAAAATTATTTATACTAACCAATAATTATAAAATATGATAAAATTTAATATTAAAATTAAAAACTGGCAATTTTAAAATCCAAATTTAATCACTATTAAGTTTAAAAACTACAAAATTATTGAGAAAAGAAAAAATATATATGTTTATGCAATTTATTTCTTCGTTGAAATTACGTTCAACAAGACACTACAATATATCCAGTCATTTGACAATACATGTATATATATTTTTATTCTAAAGTGTGTCAAGACTTGGTCAAGATACCAAGGAGAGCAATATTTAGTTTAAAAAATACAACAATGTAGTACAAGGCTGAAAGGAGGGATAGGGGAAGGCTGGTCTTTGATTTGTATTGTCTTAAATCAAAATTGATTGTCCTCTCTACTTTATGCTTTCTTTTCTTATATTCTTTCACACTATGTAACACCTTATGACTTGATTGCCTTGGTTTGAGAAAGAAAAGAGGAGAGAGAGAGAAGAGGAAAGAGAGACGGGAGAGAGAGAAGAGGAAAGAGAGACGGGAGAGAGAGACGGGGCGGGGGAAGAGAGAAGGGAAAAGAGAGAAGGAAAAAGAGAAGAGAAAAAGAAAAAAACAAATTCTGAACAGGCTTGGTACCCATGCATTCATAGCTTGTCTTCTCTTCTTGCTTTCTTTGACAAGCTTGTCTGATCTTTCAGTTTTCTTTCCGTGTTGATCATTAATTCAATATTATCTACATACCTGATAAGATTGCATCCACCAAAGTACCTACTTAACCTAATTACTAATCTAGTAGTTCAAGAATCATAAGGATTCTAAATTAGTAGCTGGCTAGTAAAAGATATATCTTACTTATTATAAAACGCAGGTTGTGTGTGTGTGTGTGTGTGTGTCTGTAACGTTTATATGTTGGATCGAATTTCCTACATTTTTTAGCTGATTTCAAAAAAAATTCACAGGACTACATAAAATTACCTTGTCGTGGTTCTAACGGAGCCGAAAATGGGAAAAACACAGTTGTTTTTTAATAAAATAATTTTGAAAACACGATTAAGACACATCGTGAGAATGAAAGGGGGACAACTCACCCACAAAAATGTAAACAAAAGATCATAGCATTATGAAAAAGACGCCAAACTTGACGAAAACAAAATTTTATCGTCTAATGTTCATATTATTATTAAAGAGGAAAGATCAAAGTATTTTGGGGTATTTTTTTTTTTACATTTTTTAATCGTTCCTAGCACGTCTGAAATTTTCGTTAAAAATATTGTTTTTTTGGTTTTTTGGAAAAAAAAAAAAAAAAGGACAATCATTTTCAATCATTTTTTTTTCGATTTGATAAAAAGATTAAAATCTTACTTTGATATTCTTTTAAAATCAATTATCATTTTTTCAAAACTGATTTTAATAAAAACAGAAATTATACTGTTTATTTAAAATATTTTGAACCAAGCTTAACTTAGCTTCTGCGCCGAAAAAATGTAATTTGAAAATAAAACAAAGCAAGTCATAACCTTTTGCGTCGCTTGACGATTGACGAAAGGCACATTCATGACGTTTAGATAACTTACGGGATGAGAATTCTTTCTACGGATGGAAGGAAGTGAAATTATTTAAGTGAACAAATTATTTACCTTTTACTTTTAAGGAAAACTTTCAGCGCTCTAATTTTTTATTTTTTTTTGTACTTAGCTTTCATTTTTACGTTTACGATGGTTTATGGAAAATATAAAGAAATTAAAAAATAAGACTGTTAATAGTGAGATTAAATTTCATAAGAAAAAGGTATCTAATTAATTT